CTCAGGTATCGAGAAGCAGGAGGGCTCTGGCAAGGTCCACGTGGTGACCCTCCAGAGTGCTGGGGTCTACATGTGCCTTCAGTGTGGCGCTACGGGAACAGTGGAGAGTATGCAGGGGATTGCTTGCAACGAACACCAGAAAGCAAAGCTTGCACAGTTGGTTCCTGGCTTGCGCCATAAGATAGGATCACGCATGCTGGTGTACTGTAAGCTGCTCGATCATTAGTATATACTCTGCCTTCCCAGGAAAAACTTCGGGCTTTGACAAGGGAGCTGGAGGAGGCCAAGAGCAAGCGACTTTATGAGAAGCCAGCCACGAAGCCGCCTGCACCTGCTGCATGAACCTAGCCTTGCACTTGCACACATCGTAGCATATAGAGCTTAGTTTAAATGCTTTACCCCAAACAGCTCCACACGGCTGAACTCAGGCACTGACGCGGTGGACACGCAACCGTGGCCCAGCCCCGATCGCCAACCTGAGTGGCATGAGCAACGTGCTGTCAATCGTGTGTTGAGCTTTGAAGAGACTGGCTCGGAGTGCAGTTCGAAAGGGACTGGTTATTGGTTGTTGCCAGACCCCCAAAGACTCTGTGAAGAATGTCGACTCCGCAGACCATGCAAAGGATCCCGAGCTTCCGAAGAACACCAGCCAAGCAGGCCCTGCAACGGAAAACATCCCAACAGACCCTGTGAAGAACACTGCCCAAGCAGACCTTGCAACGATAAACATCCCGACAGACCCTGTGAAGAACACTGCCCAAGCAGACCCTGCAAAGAAAAACAGCCCCGCAGACCCTCCAAAGTGCAGTGGCATGGCCGATGCTCAGCAGAACATTGCCCCAGCTACCCACCGAAAGAGTCCTGAGCCCAAGCCAAATCCTGAAGAACCCCTGGTGTCTGTCAGCCGGCCTCGAGCAAGGAGGCTTGTGACTAGGATTCTGAAGCGGCCCAAGAAGGCAGAGGATGAGAAGGTTGAGTGCCCCAGGCCCGAAAAGGCTTCCAAGCATTTGGGCGCACTGCCCGACAAACCAGAATGCTTGGCGACCGTGGAACCATCTTTGTGTCCCAAGGAGCAAGCAGGAGGCCATGGCAAGCATGATCTCGAGGGTGAGGAATCCGAGGGTGAGGAGCCCCAGGAGTGTGAGGAAGATGCCCGTGATGCCGAGGAGGAGGAAGATGAGGAAGATGAGGAAGGTGCAGAGGAGGATGATCAGGCGAGTACGGGTGAAGAGGATGATGCTGATGATGATGCACCCATGAAGCGCCCAGCAGCTAAGTCAGTCCCCAAGAAGGCTCTGAAGTCAAAGGCAAAAGCAAAGGCCAAAGCAAAGGCAAAATCGAGCCCCGGACCAAAGGGTAGAGCTAAGGCGAAATCTAAGGCCAAGGCCAAGGCGGGCTCAAAGGATGAAGACAAGGAGAGGAAGAGCAGGAAGAGCTGTGCCTACCACAAGCCCAAAAAGGAGGCTCTAGATTCGGGCATGACACCAGAGGAGGCTGCAGACATCGCCAAAGAAGTTGCCTACCTGCAAAATCACAATTGTACGTTGGGATGTGATACATGCATGCATATAGCCCAGCGAAGCTTCTAACTCAGGCTTATCGGACCTGCAACTGATGGGATCTGGCCGCCAGCGATTTGATGACTAGTTCAGCAGTGCTGTTGCCTGTGAGTGTGCAACAGATCGATCCCATGTCATTGGGATGTGCTCGTACAGTATGGCTCTAGGGCAGTTTTTTAATCTGCTGCCTGAACCTGGCAGACACCTGCTGGGATAGACATGCATTACTGTACATTTTGATCAGTGCCTTTCGGCCACGGGATGGATCGATCCTAGGTTGCCCTCATGGCAAGTATGCTCGGGAGACTGCTGGAAATGTCCTATGTCCTATGTGAGGGGTCTGCAGTCTACAAGCCTCTGCAATCATATTTGTAATGTGCAATATTACACGGTACGGCTTTGAGCTCGCAGGTGCAACCGGATGCCGAGGACGGAGCGATGGGCGTGCCGGGCCTTATCCCGGGGACGACCTGCCTTGGTTATATCTGTTGTGGGGAGACAGGGAGTGCGTTGCCTGCAGCAGGGTGGCATGTGCAAGCTGTCATGAGCTAGTTGGACCATCAAAGGCTCGAGAAGCTGCAGCCCTGAAAGCCCATAGCAATGCCGGTGGCACGATGGGAGTCACTTTTGCCAAACCTCATACAGCTTCAAGCCCCTAAGGTGCAACAGTTCAGGGGGTATGCAGCCATACATGCAGTCTATCGTATACACATGCATATACTTAAACCCTGCAGGTCTTTATCGGATGTGTGCTACAGCTGCAAATACGTACTCTATGGGTCGATTATATGTTCCCTCCCTCCTGCCTGTGAGGTGTTGCTGTTGGTCTGGACAACGAACATCGACCTGCAGATGCAGATTCAGATGCTCGAACTGTTTAGCGGCGAAGCCAAAGTGACCCAGACGTTCCGCGAGTCAGGGGTGACATGTGTTCATATTGATTCGAACTACATGCCGGGCAACTCCATGGACTTCCTGTCCCCAGCAGGGTTTGCGCAAAGGGCTGAGTTGTTATACTAGCTAGTGCATGAAGCAGACCCTATCACTGAAGCTAGCAAGCATGCCTGAGGTTAGCGATGACATGTGTCATGCGAGAGGGCCCCAACTCCTTCAACCTGCTGGCTCCGATGTGTTCGAGCTGGACTTTATGCAGTCGAGGGACCTCGCTTCGTTCAGCTATCAATCCCGGGGGAAGAAGTTCATGTGGTTTTGTGCGAGATGCAAACATGTGTATGGGAAGGCTGGGGTTGCACTATAGCAGTCTGTCTCCTATACATGTATATGTATGTGTGCACACCCCAGCCCCTCACTCGACACGCGCAGAACCGAAAAACCAGTATGCATCAAGCAAGCAATCATGACATGCACACAAATACATACACACACAGAGAGACGTGTAACACACATGAACAAACAAACACACGAACAAACGAACATGCAAACAAAAAGCAAACCAAAGAAGCAACAAACAACAGCAGCAACGACAACAACAACAACAACCAACCAAGTGCAGACACACAAACAAACAAGCACACAAGCAAAGAAGCGACCACACATGTGTGCACATGTGCACACACACAGAGAGAGGTGTGCTTGTGCTTGTGTGTAGGCATGCATGTACTCATGCACGTAGGCTCTGATCAATAGCTCCGGCCCTAAATCCGAGTCTGAAATCCCCGGAGGCTGGTCTTACTCTTGGTCCTCATCCTGGCTGTGCACAGCATCTTTGTGATCGAGCAACCCCGAAGCTCTGAACAAACCTTCCCTTACCACCATCGGTTCTCCTGGTTCTGCAACCATGTCTGCTATGCCTCTTGGATGATATTTGTAGGGTCAACAATGCACACACACTACCACCCACCACCACCCACCAC